TTCCTCACCCCAGTGCTTTGATTAAACACTCACAGCAGCCCTTTTGATTTTTTTTTGCCAGCTTGTAAAGACTAGATAAAGAAAAAAGGTTGGGTCTATTTGCAAGGAGCTTGATGCTGCTCATCACCACCCTGATGGATCCTAGCAACTTCTGCTTTTTTTATCATGTTAATCCCTGAAAAATAGTGATGCATGGGAGAGCCAGTTTGGTGCAGTGGTTAAGGCGCCAGGTTAGAAACTGGGAGACTACGAGTTTAAGCATGAAAACCAGATTGGTGGGCTTGTGCCAGTCAATCTCTCAGCCCACATTTACTTCACAGTGTCCTGGGAAAATAGGAGGGGGAAGGAGTATTAGGTAAGTTTGCTGCCTTGAGTTATTTTTAAAAACTAAGGCGGGATATAAGTAAATGAATGTAAACAAGAGAATTTGTAGTGTATTTCTCCTTAAGTTCCAATGCATTTGGGAAGCTAATTTATTTTTGTTTTGATTTATTTATTTGATTTCTATAGCCTCCCATCTCAAGAAACTTTGGGCAGTGTACAGCATAAAAACATAAAACAATAAAAAATACCAAATAAATATATATAGTTGCTGATAAAAAATATATATATTGCACACTTGGGACCACAGGCCCAGGCACATAGCCAGGTTTTTACAATCTTATGAAAGGCCAACAGGGTCAGGATCATCCTAATCTCTGAAGGGAGAATCATGACATTCCTTGTTACATGTCCAAACTTCTTGATTGAATTGGACGGGTGCAAGCAACCGGGGGAATTTAACAGCTTTTCTGCAGTTTGAACTACAGCCATTTAAACTGGAACGGTTTTTGTCAGATTTTTGTTTGGTTAGAGCAGGGGTAGGCAATCTTGGCTCTTTTATGAATCGTGGACTTCAACTCAGGAATTCTGGGAGTTGAAGTCCACGAGTCATAAAAGAGCCAAGTTTGCCTACCTCTAGGTTAGAGAGTTCTGGAGGAAAAAGTTTTAAAGGTTTCATTTTCAATTTTTTTAAAAAAGATTTTGTAGGCTAACATATTGAACTTTTAATATTTCGCCATCATCAATGCAGCGAGAGCTGCAAAAATAAAATTTTAAAAAGTGAAGGAAGCCAACAGTAGTATCTGCATACCAGATGGCATTAGCCAAGTGGTAGAACTGATTCAATAAGGCAATAAAATTCTGCCATGCATCTCTTTGAATCAAATTGACAAGGGAATAACATGGTTGCAAAAAAGACCTAGAATCAGCAGAAAACATCATTAAATGTTACATCAAGCTTGCTTACAGCCAGATTTTTTTTTAACAAGCTTCCTTGACATTTTCTACCAAAAGAATCCAGGAAGATAGTAAGCGTCTGTGAATTCTAGTGCCACCTCAGGCATGAAAGCCAGCAGGGTGACTTTGGGCCAGCTGCACTCTCTCAGCCCAATTCATTTCACCTCACAGGGCTGCTATTGAACAGCCAATAGAGAAAATAGGAGGGAGTATTAAGCATATTCACTGCCTTGAGTTATTTATAAAATTAATAAAGGTAGGATTAAAAAATCAAAATAAATTAAATAGTTGTCTGGATATGAGTGACCGCTCTACGCACGGTCACTCAAGCCCTCGTTGTTTCCCGCCTGGACTATTACAACGCTCTCTACATGGGGCTCCCTTTGAGGTGCACCTGGAGGCTCCAGCTAGTTCAGAATGCGGCCGCGCGGGGGATTTTGGGGGCCTCTAGATACTCCCATGTAACACCTTGTTGAGGTATTTTGAGAACAAGGAACAGAAGTTACTTTGACCTATGATGAAGTTAGGCATTCTGATCCTGCTCAAAATAATACCCTGCAGCTTAGCTTGAGAAAATAATTTTTCTTGGTGGATTGTGTATCATCAAATGATTAGTAGGTAGATTTGACCTAGGGTAAGATATTTTTAACCTGATATTCTCACTTGTTCCTCCAGTGAGAACTGTGGGTTGATCTGTTCAGTGGTTTGTATGTTTTATTTCTTGGCTGCCTATGGGGTTCTCAAGAATCTTCCACAACATTGGTGTTAAAAATCATAAATACCCTTCCATTTCTTTTTCTTCGAAATCCAGTAGACCAGTGTTTCTCAACCGTAGCAACTTTTAGATGTATGAACCTCAACTCACAGAATTCCTTGGCCAGATGATTGATTTGAATTCCACGCATCTGGACTCTGGATTGTATATATTCTCCTGTATTGTAACTCAAGGAAATAATCTATTTGTGTGGTATTTGGGGGAAAAAATAGATTATGGATTTTGTCTGCTTTCTTACAACGCTGGTAAGGGCAAGGAGATTCAGAATATTATATCTGGATGCAAGATACCTTAGCTGTTATGTGGACATTATAGGAAGAGAGTTGTGTTAGGGTTGTGAAAAAACTCTATGGTGACAAAAAAAAAATCAGACGTCTGATAGCATAATGCAGGGGTGTCAAACTGTCGGCCACGCCCACCCCATTGGCGGCAATGGCGAAAAAGCTCCGATACGTTGCGCGACGCCATGTGACATCACAAGTTTGACATGTCTGGCATAATGTATTTTTTTTAACCAGGTTCTTCTGACTTTTAGTTACTGCATGGAAAGTATTTAGTATAGTTTAGGAACAGCAAAAAGAGTATTTCCAACCAATGTAATGATCACAAATGCTTATTTAAATTTCATTTTGCTTTTGCATTAACTTGTTTTTTTAAAAAACAAAAACAACAAAGAAGTCTGTAGCTCGCTCATCCAAAACCCTGAGCATTCTTACTTTAGAGATAGCATTAAGTTATATAAAAATGTATTATTTGATACATTTAGGCATGGACTCATCTGTTTGTAAATTGCTCTTTAAGACTATTAACTGTAGATATTCATGACTGGGTCTTCTAAGTGAAGTTTGAAGATCGTAATGGTTGTTATCTCTTGTCCATTGAAACAATCAAGGGAAAATTTTTCATCAAATTATATATAATGTTTCTTTTGACTTCTCCATTCTCCTTGTCATCATTTTCTCATAATTTTAAACATCTTCTACAGTCTGTTGTAGAGAATTTAAAAGTTAATGCTATTTTTCCTACAATCTAAGATAGTTATTCTCACAGTATCTATTTAAAAAGCAGAGGCTATTATAATATTTATTTATTCATGAGGTGATTTTTCTATGAGGAGCCATATGTTCCATCATGGAGTTGGAATTTGAAGCACATTGATTTTTTTAAGTTTAAAAAATGTCATTTCTTTCTGAAGAAATAATTGAACAAAACTTAATATTTCAAAGAAAAGTGGCCTTAGACCAGGAGTGTCAAACTGTCAGCCTGCCGGCTGGTTGAATCATATGGAGGCTGTGCCCACCCCAACTCCGGCAATGCAAAAAAAGTCACGATATGTCACGACACGTCACATGATGTGGCGAGTTTGACACCCGTGCCTTAGATTATGCAGTCTTGCTCTAACACCAAAACTATATATTCTTTAAAACAACACTAAAATGCAGTCTAAAGTGACCTTCAATCCATAGAAGAAAACAGAGCAGTTTGCTTTTCATTTAATTTCTCCAGAAACATTATATGCTTAATTGTTGGGCTTGAATGTTCATGTACTACAATAGAAAATGGCTGTGCAGCCTTGTGGATTTAATTCGCAAAGGGTATTTCAAAGTGCATTGTGTATGTTCGTGAATATAGCACCATTCTGCCACTTTTTCAAGCATTGACTATCAGTCAGTTCTGGAAAAAGCCACAATTACTTCAAAGAGTGTCAGAGAGGTGGTACATTTGCATTCTCACATACTCTGAAGCATCTTTATGGAAACGGAATCCAAAACATTGTACAGAGAGAAACCAAAAAAAAAATAAATAGAAGAGGTTTATAAATATGATGAAATTACAGTTGTGAAATACCAGTCTTTCAGCTGCATAATGCTGAAAGCATATCCTTTTTTGACCCTAATACTTTTAGGTTCCAAAATTTAACATAAACTCTTTGAAATCAGCATGGAACAAAATTGAAAACTAATAAATGCATAAATAAATTTTAGGGATTGCCATTTGCTTTTAACATGAAATAGACGTAGAGAGTTCAGTTTTGTTCTACATGATGATTGAATACAGTGGTACCTCGGTACTCAATATTAATTGGTTCTGGGAGGTGCAACGAGTATTAAAAACGATGAGTGCCAAACTAGCCATGTGGCTTACCACATGACCCTTTGTTTCGGCCGGTAAGGACTTCCTGTCTGTACCTTTTCCTATATCAGTGACCTGCTTGGCCTGTATGGTGTAACATCTCCAAGAGCCATCACAGCAGCACAGAATTATGAAACTACCCTTTCCTTAAGATCATCTCTCCCATTTTCCCCTGCTGGAAATTGAGACCAAGTGGTCCATACATGTTATCAATATGTTAGTAAATACATAGAATGGGAGCTGGAATTACTGAAGTATCAAGCACACTTTTATAGTATCGTCATTTATTAAAAGGTAAAGATTTTCATTTAAAGTATTTGCACATAGAATGAAACCATAAATGGAAAGATCTTTAGCTTTTGAGCCGGAAATTTGGAAATTTAGTTAAGAACTAAACCTTTAAAATTGTGTTAGCAGTAGACTTTCAACACTGTTTTACACTTGTTTAATTTTTTTTTTTATTTATTTATTGGGTCGTTTCTATGTGTTTTGTTACTTACGTTGTATGCAGTCTTGGTGACATTTATAGGAAGATGAGGTAAATATGGTAAGTTAGCTAATTGAGATAAACATTCCAAAACTTGTGTTTATCACACAAGCATTTTTAAATGTGAGCCTTATCTCCATCCAAGATTATTTAGCTATAGAAAACGGTAAGTATTAATGCACCCCAGCTGGACACATTTGGTGTGGGCAGCTATCCTTATGGCGCCTTTCTATGCTCAAATGTAAAAAGATAGGTGTCCCTGAAACTTCTTCAGGAGCAGATCTTCAGGAGCAGTCTTTAGAACAAAGATTGTGTTCTATGGTTAGTATGAGCCATGGATATGCTTATCCTGAATCCATTGCATCACTTGAGGGGACAGTGAATGATTTGAAGTGTGTCTGTCCTGCCCATCAATTGCTCTTATGTTCTGTCTTTCTCCTCTCACAATGGCTTTACTACCACAGGTTTATTCCTGAGGACTGGTCTGCCTGCAGTGTGACCTGTGGGGTGGGCGTCCAGGTGCGGTTGGTGAAGTGCCAGGTGCTGCTGTCCTTCTCTCAGTCTGTGGCAGATTTGCCCATTGATGAATGTGAAGGACCCAAACCAGTGTCTGAACGAGCTTGTTACGGTGGTCCATGCAATGGAGAAACTGGTGAAGAGGCTGACCTGCTCTTTAGGGGCTCACAAGATTTTGATGAACTTTACGACTGGGAATATGAAGGCTTCACTGAATGTTCTGAGGCTTGTGGTGGAGGTGAGTTCAATTTGCAGTTTCTCTCATTTCCTTGTTTCCTACATACTGGATTGTGGAAGTAATGTACCTGAATCCAGACTATATTTTTTTTACATTTAGACTTCATTGAAATCAGTCATGTCTGCCTGATCCAGCTAATGTAGCCAGGATCCATCTCAAAGTCAGAAGCTTGAGATTTCAAAATATTTGACAGAATAATAGAATAACAGCTCAGCAGAGTTGGAAGGGACCTTGGAGGTCTTCTAGTCCAACCTCAGTTAACATCTAGCATATAGGATGTGTTATAAATTAACCTCATACTAATTCCTTAAATCCAATCTAGATACTTTCTACTCACCAAAATGTGAAGATTCGATCAAAAATAAAATTTTAGGTTAGTGGTAGTGGTATTTAAAAAAAGGATTTTCTGTTGCTAAGCGAGACAGTTGTTAAATTCATTTTGCCCCATTTTATGACCTTTCTTGCCACAGTTGTTAAATGAATCACTGCAGTTGTTAAGTGAGTAACATGGTTGTTAAGTGAATCTGGCTTCCCCATTGACTTGGCTTGTCAGAAAGTCGCAAAAGCAATCACATGACTCCAGGACACTGCAACTATCATAAATATGTTGCCAAGTGCCAGAATTTTAATCACATGACCATGTGGATGCTCCAACAGTCGTAAGTGTGAAAAACAGTGATAAGTTACTTTCTTTGGAATTTCAGTCACTCAACAAATGTTCGTAAGTTGAGGTTATTTAAAATACTGATAATTCTTCTATTTCTCCTTCATTCCTTAGTTGCTTGCTGTTAGCTTGGGTTTTGCTCATAGAGTTTCACTGTGCATCTCTCTTATATCACAGGAAAAACTATGATATGGCCTGCAGGAAATGTTCATGTTTTAGTTGTCACCATAAAGGATACTTCTTTATGGTGATGTTCCATTTAGGGGCACCACAGGCTCTTGAGGCAACTGGTCAAAGGGTGGAAATTCCTTGGGGTTCTCCATGGCCTATGCACTTCTTCACAGATTACAGCCACCATGCAAAGTTTCTGCAGCACAGAGATGTCCATCGTCTTCACCAAAATAGTCATAAGGCAAGAATCAGCTTTCAGTCTTCTTGTTAAAGCAGAAAAGGTGACTCTGTAGAAGAACGATTGGAAATGAGGTCCAGATGTAAAACCATTTTGAATTGAGAAGGTATCAAAATTCACAGCTGGGGTCTTTCATATGACTAATGTAGTAGCCTGCTTGTTTACATTTCCTGCTGACCACTTACATTTGGGGCAGAGAATCATGTTTTTAGAGAGAAAGGCTAAGACAGGAAGCATCGGGTGTCATTTACTTTACATTTGCCTGACGTCTGCCTCGTAAGCAGAGACATATGGATCTCGAGCACCGGGCTCTTGCGTATGTACAGTATTTCTTTTTTCTGAATCTGTTGGCGACTCAGCTGGTTTTGATAGCTTATCCTACCAAATGACATTAGCTTGGATTTAAAAGGGAGAGAGAAAACATATGACAGAAATAGCTAACGAAACCACTGCCTGGAGCTAATAAATTTGGCACTTAAAGGAAAAGTCAAGGAGTATCACCATTAATGCCTGTTATGAGAGTTGTTTGATATACATTGTGTCCAATCCAAATTCCATTATTTTGGTATAATTGTTTATGGAGAGCTACTAATGATTCTAATCCTTAACTTCCTTAATTTCTCTAAAATGCTTGTCTTCTTTTCCTTGGTGGAAGCTGAGATTTACCACACAAAAATTACGTTTACATAAAAAGTTGCAGGATTTCAAAAGGTACAAATACATTCTGAATAATAGGAAAATCTTACAGAGGGAACTTTTTCAGACAGTTCATCCCATTTCCCACCCACAGTAAGATGTGACTTTTCTTTTCTACTTTGTTCTGAGATACAGTTAAGAAGACAGCTTCTTAAAGTGGCATAAAAGCTTTAATCTTCAATATATCACAGTAGCAACTGGACTTACAGCCTGACAGAACCACAGAACAGGTGACAGTTCTGTGCATCCAGGGCAGCTTAATGGGACTCACTTAACAACTGTCTTATTTAGCCCACATAAATTCTGATCTCAATTGTAGTCGTAAGCTGGAAAAATGGTCCTAGGTCACTATTTTCAGTGCCATTGTAACTAAAGTCACTAAATGAACTGTTGTAAGTAGAGGACTACCTGTAAGTACATTTAGCTAGCATGCAGCATAGCTTTGAGCAAAACCATGCCTTGCTTGATTCTCTTGTGAAAATATGATTAGGAACATCCATTTTTGCCAGCACCTCAGTTTGAAGTTTTATGTTCATGAATCCCTTAATCATACATGTGTCCTCCTGCTAAATGAAGCATTCATAAATAAATGAAAACAAAACAAAGACAGAAATTATGGTGTGAGAGCTTGCGGAGGTAGATTGATTAGGAAACTTAAGAGATTTGATTAGGAAACTTAGAGATGAAGTCTCTATAGAACCATAACACATTTTAAAAGCAGAAAGTCTTATAATGATAAAAGAACAACTTGTATGATTGCCAGTGGGGTCAACCATCTCATCAGTTAAATGTACTGAGAGAAGTTAGAGAGGACACTATTTCTCATGCTTTGCTATTGTTAGTATCATATAATATTGTAAATCCCTAGTTGCAATCTTCATAATCAGCTGTCAATACTGATTATGCAAATACTGAATAGTTAATCTAAGACCTAATTATAACAGAGATACTCTGATGGTACTGAATAAAAAATAAAGTCCTGTCACTGGACTTTGAGGCTATGTATTTATTATCTTATCTCATGTTTGTTTATCGCACTCCATGTGTTCAACTTAGTATCTTAACAGTTGTTGGCAAAACAGCTGCCTTCCAGCATGTTTGAAGAAAAACTTTCTGTTCACACAATTAAAATGAAATAAATACATTTAAAATAATCTTACATGACAGATAAGTTAATTGTATTTTTTCTAGTCTCCATAGATGAAATGTAATAGACAGAGAAGTAGGTTTTTGCCCTCAAAGGAATAGCAGCCAGAAGGAACTAATTAGTAATTTAGTCTATATTCAGTGGCTATGTCTTCCACCACTGTCATCAAGTATCATGTAACAATTATGCTCTGCTAATAGATATAAACATTGCAAATCTTATTTGATGGTATATTGAAAGTGAATTAAAAACTACTTAGATTTATATCATGTCCTCCTCTTGCACCAAGTAGCATTTTAATTTCCCAGTTATAGAGATTTTTTTCAAGGGAAAGTAGACTCAGCTGCTATGTTAAACTTATTGACATTTTTTTAAAACTTGACTGAAATACTCAAATTGTAATGTTTGATTATTATTTTTTACCCCCAATTCTGAGCAGCTTTTTCTCATTATTTATTATATTGCATTGACTTAAAACCATTTTTTCATCCTACTCTTCAGGCAGAAAGTTTTCCACAGAAGCTTACATATAACCAGTGAAAACAGAACAGTCTTTATTTGCAAACTTACAGTCTATAAGATACAATATAAAAGGAGGAAGAATAAAGAAGGAAAAAGAACAAAGCAAAGTTTGGAGCAAATCATAAAGTTAAAAATAATATTGTTTAATTCAAGTAAAAGAGCTACCCTTGTCCCATAGTTAAAGCTGGACCTAATTATATAACTTGATTGGGAAAGAATATTTGGCTTCTTTATTATATATTACAGATTTATGTTTTAATTATATTAGGTTTATACTAATACAACATAGGTAATTGCTACATTAAATTGTATGAATTTACATTCTTTAACTCATAAAGTTAAATAGTATTTTTTTAGTTCAAGGAAAAGAGCATTCCACCAAGCATTCTTCCTTGCTATGAAATGCTATATATAGCCCTTTTCTGTAATAATGAGAAGCATGTGAATATTATGCAGTATCCATTTGCCAAAAATGCAAATATGACAAAGAACAGGAAACAATTCCAATGCTCTGACTAGTGTTTCCATACATTACACACTTGCAAACATGTGGTTGCAGTGTTCATACTTGACTATTTTAAGTGTAAGACTAAACCTGTATTTTAGTGAGCTTTGGTTTACTGTTGTTCCTGTTATTTACACGAAGAAGCCTTTTTTTATAGTGGGTGCACACACATAAACTCTCACCAATAGGAGCTGTTAAACTACAGTTTATGAATTAGACCTTTCTCTGTTCATGGCAACTTTCAGTTTATTAATTCATAAGTGTCTTCCGTCCTGTTTTGACATCTGTCAGTGATAAAACTCCAATGAAATCCCATTTGTATTGTATGTTTTCTACACAATCTGAATTTTTGTGTGCATTGTATCCCAAAATACTCATTTGTCTGAATGTTATACCCATGTCATGTCTATGTATTTTTGAGCCAAGGATTTAAATCATGAGCAAATGCTTATAGCGTGCTATGCCTTTGTAGGGATACTGCAAAATCAGGCTAGCATGTTATCAAGCAAAATAAGTCGGGTTTAACAGCTCTGAGAATTTTCTCTTATTTGCTAAAATCCGATGTTACTTTGAGGAATAATGCTTTGACCTGTCACAACAAAAAGGCATGTTTGTTTTAAACTTTGGCTTAAAAAATAAGTCACTGTGTTGTATATTTTGTATAGATGAGCGTGTTATTTTTTCTCATTCGGCATAGTTGTTTCAAGCCTGCTTGTTGGTTTTATAAACATTCTGTCATCTTCAAAAGATTTTGATGCTTCAATGAATTGAAGTATTGTGCAGCTTCTTCTTCTTCTACGCGGTTTTTTATCTCTAGCAGTAGAGGCGATGCCAAAGATTTAACCCAAGCTAAACATCACCATTCAAGTAAACCTTGAAATTACAGTCAGATGACCTTTGAACAGAGTGTCCAGACTGCAAAGGCCATTCCTGTACATTGTGTCAGAGAAAAGGGAATATGTAGCATCTAGTTTCTGAGCCCTGGGCAGACTGTTTATTCCAGCATTAAAAACAATAATGAAAATACTGGTGGGGAGCAGTGAATTTGCATATTTTAGCTTCCTTTAATTAATAAGCCGGAACGTTGGGGATTGTAGGTTTTACTTGAAGCCTGTCAAGAAATGTTTAGAGGATAGAGTACTCTGGCGTCTAATAAACTGTTTTATCTCAAAGTATAGAAATGTTCAAAGTGTGCTGGAAGATCATAGAGGGTGTAGGAGACAGAATTACCGATCTTTCTTTTCAGTTCTGAAATTATATTGCTCATTGATAGTGGATTTTTAAGGTGGTCTTCAGAGACACAAATCTGGAAGCATGTGTAATTTGTTTTTACATAAAGGGTTATAACAAGAAAAGGACGTCTTATGATTTCTGTAGGGCATTCCTTTCTACTTTGCATGCATTCTGTTTAATAAAAGTTTCAGAATAACAGAACAACAGATTTGGAAGGGACCTTGGGGTCTTCTAGTCCAACCCCCCACTCAAGCAGAAGACCCTATACCCATGGTGGCGAACCTATGGCACGCATGCCACAGGTGGCACGCAGAGCCCTCTCTGTGGGCACACGCACCGTCACCCCAGTCCTAGGCCTTCAGCTGGGTTTTATAAAACCTTTTTGCTTTAGGCCTCTGCTGCCGGGTACAAAAAAAAAAAGTTCAATCCATCAATCAATTTCAACTTCTCACGGAAAAAAAAGATCCCGCAAAGTTGGAATTGATTGATTGAACTTTTCAGTCCCACCCAGTCTGCCGTTACCACCACAGCCACACCCACCCAATGGGCCATGCCCACCCGGCACCAGATGGTACATAAGTGGGTTTTGGGTTGCAGTTTGGGCACTCGGTCTCTAAAAGGTTCGCCATCACTGCCCTATACCATTTCAGACAAATGGTTGTCCAACCTCTTCTTAAAAACCTCCAGTGTTGGAGCACCCACAACTTCTGGAGGCAGGCCATTCCACTGATTAATTGTTCTCACTGTCAGGAAATTTCTCCATAGTTCTAGGTTGCTTCTCTCCTTGATTAGTTTCCATCCATTACTTCTTGTCTTGCCTTCAAGTGCTTTCGAGAATAGGTAGACCCCTTCTTCTTTGTGGCAGCCCCTTAGATATTGGAACACTGCTAGTCCTTCTTTGCATTAAACTAGACATACACAATTCCTGCAACCATTCCTCATATATTTTAGTTTCCAGTCCCCTAATCATCTTCTCTGCACTTTTTCTATCGTGGCAATCAAAACTGGATGCAATATTCCAAGTATGGTCTTACCAAGGCATTATAAAGTGGTGTTAACACTTTGCGCGATCTTGATTCTGTCCCTCTGTTAATGCAGCCTAGGACTGCATCCTTTGGTGGCAAGCAAGGCTTCTTAAACACAAAGGAGATGAACGGCTTTTTCATATAGAAATGTTGCTGGAAAGGGAAGGACTATTTAATTAAAAACCCTCATTGCTCTGTGAGAATAGATCCATAGCTGATGGATGGCACATGTGCCATGATGCCATCATGCAAATGGCACAATTATGTCCGATGCAAGAATTTAAGTTATATATTTTGCATCATAGTGTCAGGATGCCCTTGTCGTTATGGATTCCTTCCCTGCAGGCAGTAGAGCCTGCATGAAGTTTCTGAAGACTTCTGGGGAACAAAAAGAAAACAGATTTCCTTTAAAAAATCTCACATCTCTCTCTCTCTCTCTCTCACACACACACACACACACACACACACACACACACACACACACACACAGTAATGAAGATTTTTCTAAAAGCTTCATTTGATAACCAACTGTATGGAATGAAAAATGGTAAAGGGGAGAAAGTCATTTATATCCTTTTGCCCTCAGTATATTCAGCACTTCTCTTTACCCTAAAGCAGCAAGCTGAAAAATATCTTGAAGGTGACCTCTATAAAATTCTACTAGAACATGGATTTCATCTCATCATGAGGTCTGCTCCATGTCCATGTGGGTAGCATGCAACCCTGATCTCACCCTCTCTCTCTCTCTCTCTCTCTCTCTCTCTCTCTCTCTCTCACTCCAATGCTTTTTTAGCTAGAGCTTTTAAAAATTATCTGTAATTTTTGGAGACAAATTGAACCAAACCCTTAAGGGTTATCTGGATTACCCTGGTTGTCTGTGCCATTTTACAAATATATTCATAGCTCTACTTGGAATAAGATCCTCAAGCCATTTCAATCCCATTGAAATCACTAGAACCCAATAAACCTGTGCTTTCTTTTTGTCGGCTATTTGGGACTTCTAAACCTTTGTTCCGCTTCTGTAGACCCAGAACACTCAATTATAGTGATATACAGTATGTGCTGCTATCTAATAGGGTGGTTTTAATTTAGTGCTGGATTTCACTTTAGAACAATAAACGTTAAATGTGCATTTCCTTTAGCTGCAAGGCAATAGGGTCGCATCATTCCATTTCTTTCTAAAAAAAATAATAAAAAAAATAAACCAGCTACTGCATCCAATCAATAAAAAATAAGGAAGATGTTTTTCAATTGTCTAGAAGACCCATCATGTACCTGCCATGTGGCGCTACGTTTCCACTCCTGAGTCACTGTGGGTGACTCCTCAGTGGGTAGCAGCCGTGTGCGATGCTGCCCTGTTGACAGTAGAGAGTATCAGATTGCTTTCCTAGAGGCACCAAGCCCCCAAGCTGGCTACTCCAAAGGATCTCTTGTTAGTATCATGTCTGCAGTTCTCTTTGCTGACTCTGTACTTGGAATGCAGCCTGCAGGATTTTAAACATTAATTTGATTTAATTTGGTTTGTGTGTACAGGTGTCCAAGAGGCTGTAGTGACTTGCCTGAATAAACAGACCAGAGAATTTGCAGATGAAAATCTATGTGTGAGCAGTCGGCGCCCCCCACAGTTGCTGAGATCTTGTAACCTGGAACCTTGTCCCCCAAGGTAGGCTGCTGCTTGCTCTTTGCTTCTCCTTCATCTGGGTCCTCAGGGCCTTGAGAAGTCATTTGCACTTTGCCACGTTGTATTTGAAAGGCAGAGAAACTTAACACAATTGGGAACATATTTCCTGGCATCTAGCAGAAATAACTGCACTGATTTAAAGTGAATTATTTTCCTATCCGCTTTATTATACTCAGGGTTATTTCTAGGGCAGTATGTGTGCAAGTAATTCCACTCTACAGTGGAATTCAAGATGTTCCCGGTGTCTGTTCTGTTTGTTCTGTTACTTTCCAGGCTGTTTGCCCATGCCTGGGTTGGTGTAAGTGGCAAGAGTCAGCCCTCAGAAGTTGCAAGGAAAATCAATT